ACTGGTGCAAGCTGGCTGAGCTACCGGTAACGGATGGGCATCGTTCCGATAAGCTACCAGCCGGCTGCTGTGCACCAAAAAAATTACTATGCAAAATTATATAAGGCTAGATAATGAGATCGTGGTTGGAGAAGGAGGCTAAGAGGGATGGGGTGGGACAAACTCACAGCACGAACGCCACTGAGGTCGGCTCCTAGCCATATCAGTAAGTGTGTCCAACCAAACGTGTTCATCATCTTACGGACCCCAACCAGGGAGCCGAGACGCTCCAACTGAGGCCAGCTCCGAAGTGAGGGACTTCATTCCTCTCGACCAAGTCATCGCTTGGCCACCCCTCCTCTTTTTCCATCCACACCTCCGGCGCGCAAACAACACACGTCGCGGGAGTCGTGGGCTGGCATGCGTAAAACGTGGCCGAGCCATCGGAGTCTGACGCGTGAAATAACGGTGCTGAGCGGTTCAGTTCCTTTTCCTGTGCCGTAAACGAGGCGTCGAACACGCTCGTTACTCACGCGGTATTCCCACCAGATGTGAGCTAAATTACGAAGGCACCGGTGGTCGAACGTAACTAGCCTCTTCAGGTCCGCTGCTCTAAGCGGCCAGGTTTCACAACCGTACAGTAGGGTCGAACGTACCACTGCATTGTACACTCTACCCTTCAGAGCGAGAGTGATGTCGCGCCGGCGCCATAAGTGGCGAAGGTTAGCAAAAGCGCCCCGAGCTTTTGCTATACGATTCGTAATCTCATCTTTAATCCCACGGGCGCTGATACAACTTCCCAGGTAGTTGAATTTTTGAACGACTTCTAGCTGATCCCCACCAAGGGTCAGCGTAGGAGGCGGTCCAGACCAATCTTGGAGGAACGCTTTGCACTTCGAGGGTGCGAAGCAAAGCCCGAAGTGACGGACAGCTAGTGCTAATCTGTCCAGTGCCGCTTAGCACGTTTGTGAGTTATCACAGATAAGGGCAATATCATCAGCATACTCTAAGTCAAGAAGTCGTTCTCCTGGGAGCAGATCCACACCTTCTAAGTCGTGTGCTGTAAACGCGATTTCCATGACTTCGTCAACAGCGAAGTTGAAGTGGCAAGGTGACAGCGGGCATCCTTGTCTCACACCGCTGGAGATATTAAAGGGCGACGACAACTTGCCGTAAGCCCTCACTCTGCCCGAGCTACGCGCATATAATGCTCGGACAATATTCACATATTTCTCAGGTACACCTTTCCTGAGTAGACAGTCCCAAAGTGCATGTCTATCTACCGAGTCGAATGCACCTTTGATATCGAGGAACACAACGGTGGACTGCCAATATATGTGACGGTGCTCAAACGATTGACGCAAAGTGAAGATGTGCTCAATGCAGCCACGACCTCGACGAAATCCAGCTTGCTCTTCACGAATCTGGCTTTCACGAGTGCCAGTCAGTCGGTGAAGGATGACAGAGGCAAGCAATTTGGAAGCAATGGAGATCAGACTGATTCCTCTATGGCTGCCGCATTCCGATCATGAGCGTTCTTTAAAAATTGGGACTATGACGGAGCGGCTCCAGTCGGTTGGGACAGTTTCCTGCTCCCACAGTTTCCCTAGTAACTCGTGTAAATCATCCACAAGAGCAGGTCCCCGAATTTGAAGAGGGCTGAAGGAAGATCATCTGGTCCCGGGGCTTTGTTCAACTTTAACAGTCCGATCTCATGTTCGACTTTTGAGCGAGAGGGTGGATCCAAAGGGACAGCCAAGGGAGCGGGGCGATCAGTGGCCGGCGAGAAATCTAACAATTCCGACCGATCAAATTGCCTTTTAAAGTGCTCAGCCCAACGCTCTAAGCGTTTTGATAAGTTGTGGATAGGCTGTCCACTCTCGTCACGTACAGTTTCACTAACACCAGGTCTCCTGCTGCCCGTTTCCTGTATCAGACGGAATAATTTACGATGGTTACCAAGGGCAGCGGCCATTTCCATCTCTGATGCACGATGAGACCACCAGGATTCGCGGTCTATCTTCAGGCTAGCACGAAGTTTTGCCCGGAGCACTTTGCGAGTTTCATTGTGTTCGCTTCCAGCCGGAATATGCCGGCGAGCATCGATATGTTCCAGAGACTGTGAAGAGACCCAATGTCCATGTTGGCGATTAGACATACCACATGAGGATTTTCCTGCTGCCAATAACGTCTGGTGAATATGAGACAAGTGAGCTTCAATTGCATCCAGTGAGCGATTATCCAACTCGCATGACAGCGTACTTTGATACGCATTCCGAACAGCTGGCTTCGCCAGTTGGCCGGTGTCAATGCGCTCACAACATCGTCGTGGGCGTCCGCCAAAGCGCATCCGCAGGTCAGCACATACAAGTGCATGGTCGGTGTCCACACCTGTGCTCCAAATCGAGCGACAGTTCTGGACACAGTCTCTCCATCGGTAACTTATCGCAATGTGATCGATTTGCGTCAAAGGCTGGTGGGCGCCAAGTCAACCTCCGGCGGGTGCTGTATCTGAAATTATTGCTCGCAAGAAATAAGCGAGCATCCTCACACAAATGAAGTAACCGCTCACCGTTATCATTACGGGAGCCTATACCATGTTGGCCGCCCAGATGCAGCTCATCTGTGGATAATTTTCCAACTTGAGCGTTCAGATCCCCGGCCAGCACAACAGTGTCGGAGCTTCTTCTGTGGCTAAGGAGCTCGTTCCGTTGACGATAGAAGTCGTCTTTTACCGAGTCATCGCTACAGTTTGTCGGTGCATAGGCAGCGATAGCGAATAGACACCTGTTAGTCCCACGCGACTTCGAAGTTTTGAACGAGCCAGCCAATCGGACCGCACACATCCGGCTACTGATTGGAATCTAATCAACCAGAGTAGCTTCAGCCCGGGGACTCAGGGCAATACCAACACCGGCTTGGCCGGTGCTCGAAGCTGCATCGTCACCGGATAGGCGCAATGAGAAAACACTGCTTGCGTCACCTGAAGGGGATCGCAGAGTGAGTACAGAGCTCGAGTCTTGCAGGCAGGTCTCCGATAAGCAGCAGATATCGATCGAGAGGGTCCCTAATGTTCGGGCAAGGGCTGCCTGTTGACCGATCTGTAGCAATGTGCGAATATTGAGGCATGCCAATCTGAAGGAGGATCGAGGGCTCCAAATGGAAGCCGATGAACTGGAATGGGCCGCTTGCTTGGACATGGGCCTGTTGACAGTGCAGGAATGACGCTCCGCGTTCATCTGAGTTGAAACTAAAAGACAAGCGACTATTGAAGCAAGGTGGGGGAGGGCCGAGAATTGGGGGTTGAAAACAGGGGGGATATAAGTAAAGTTGGAACGGGACGATAAGGGTGAAAAAGCGCGAGAAGGGGAATAAGAAGACGGGAAGGCTTGAGCAGTAGCATCTAAACCCCTATCCACCCTGCCCGATGCAGCAGATAGGGCACCGTTGATTATCCTCTGCGGTGGCCAGAGCATCAAGAAATTGTTTGAGGAAAGATTCATTGTATTGCGTGGGCAGGATACTGTCAGGTTGCCCAGGCATAGACAGCAGAACGATTAGGGTTCTCAACCAAAGCCTTTGGTTCAAAAACCTGACCGCAAGGCAGCGGGTTTGGCGTTGGGCTACAAGGAGTCCGTTTTAAGGAATAAGGTGCCACTCTCATTCCAGCCCCCAACCTGGAGGACCAGGAGGCTGTTTGTCTGGCCTCTAACCATTGACCAATCTGGTATGAGTGGCTTTGAAGGTGCAAAAGCACCACCCAGCATAGCTCAACGGATCACTGAGGCACACAAACCATCGCACCACGGTAAGGTCCAGCCTCATTGCGATGGGTGGATGGATGGATGGATGGATATATATATATATATATATATATATATATATATATATATATATATATATATATATATATATATATATATATAAGCATTGAAACCTATGGAACGTTCCTGGTAGCGGATGGCACCAGTGTAACCGCAACGATGATGTGCGTAGGCTGTGATAATCAGACTAGCTCGGCAGAATAAAAGATAGCAACAAATTGCGTTGGTTTGGGAAAGTGCCAGATCGCCGCTTACCGAGAGTTTCGTTCAGTTTTCCGGATGTAGAGTGGTACAAAGCTCAAGATTGGCAGAAGAAACTGGCAGCGGGGAATGACGTCACTCATGGTCCGTCTCGCCTTCCAAGCTGGAGTCTGCGACACGCCCTGTGCTCCGTTCGAGATGTTACAAGATATGGCTCGCAGTCAGCACCAGTGGTGGTTACCTGTCAAAAGTGCGCATGGTGCTGAATTATCAGCGCGGTAATGATTGATTATGAGGCGGGGAAACTTAACCCGAAAGGAAGCTGTCTCACTGACTCGACGTTATCTTTGCACGCTGTCTAGCTGTTTGTGACGGTATGTTGTTAACAACGTGAAGGCGCATAGGTCCCTAAGGCTTGCGTTGGGCGTCAAGGCTTTATGCTAAGTCACACTTCTTTCATTCCTTTGAATCTTCATCCTGTAGGTTATTGCGGTAGTACGACATCAAAGCATGTTAAAATGGCTGATGTGCTGTTGTTGTTGATGAAATGTCGTTATCAGCCGAAAGACGACTTGTGCAACCGACACGGGGACATCGGTAAAACACATGATCGATGGCTGGTGGTAGTTTTGCTTCACTCGGAGAAGCGTAAGCAAGGCTGGCCGAGCAGACAAGACTTGTTCCAATCCGAGTGGGTAGCAGTGCCGTCTGAACTGAGGTGTGAAACAACAGGACTCAGCCAATGTGATAACCGTGCAAATCCATATCACGCGGCTCAAGTTGAAGTCAATCGGTCAATGAACCCTGGTGCCTGTATGCTTGCACCAGTCTTAAACTAGTACCCAGATACAAGTGATGCAGTGAAGGGGTCCTCGTAAAAGGTCCTAGCGGAAACAGTAAAGAAATATATCTCGACAGCACCTGAAAGGAGGAATTAAGGCTGCGCATGCAATAAAAACACCAAATAAATAAGCTAGGTAAATACCATTAGTCTACCTGTATGCTGTTTTCCTTGACGAGTTGAGCACAGTCGTTAATCACAACGCTCGGTACGTCGTCCAAAGTTTCGCCCTCCCGTAGTCTCAAATAGACATGTGCTGATGATAATTTGTCTACGTGAAACCACACGTCCTCTGGCCAGCCCCAACGTATAAGTTCTTCGTTTTCGTTTTTATCTGCCCCCATATAAATTATGTATGCGGGGTTTACAAGTTCGCATCTGTAGAAGAAAACCATAGTAGGAAAAAATCCGGTACACCAGCAGTACACAGAGACGCAAGGTCACATAACCGAAGGTCGTGGTGACCGAATGCCTTGAATTAGACAGGCCGTCATAATAACACTGCATGGTAACGGATGCAATGTCAGTGTACTTGGGCAGCTCTTATTTCGGTTTATCTTCTGCACTGCTGTGCTTTTGTGGATTTGTCTTCGACGGACATTTAGAAGGAAGTGTACACTTGTTTACTTAAAGTTTAGCAAAACAGCCGGACATACATGTAGAACTTGAAAAACGTTTACCTGGTAACCTATAACATCGTCATATTATTTAAGGAAGATTGGCATTCGTGCTCTTTGGACCTGACGGCACTGAAGTATCAACCGATCAGGCCAAGGCCTGCTTACTTGCAGAACAGTATGCTAGGTCGTTTGTTCATGAATCTCCATTGCCTAATATCCAATTGCAAGCAAAGATACCCTTAGACTCCTTTCTGATGGACCTTTCCATCTCGGAAGCTCAGGTACTCAAGCTCCTGCGTGACCTAAATCCCACAAAAGCTGCCGGGATAGATGCCCTCCATCCCAAACTTTTGTACGAGCTGGCTGGGTTCCTGTGTAAACCGATTAAGTGTATCTTTGAGAAGTCTCTTCGTAGCTGCTCCCTACCTGCTGACTGGAGAGATGCTATCGTGTGCCCTATTTTCAAAAAGGGTGATAAGCACTTACCTGAGAATTATAGACCGGTTAGCCTAACAAGCGTACTGGTAAAAGTATTAGAGAAGCTTGTAAGAGATGCTCTGGAAAAGCACTTAGCTAAGTTCAGTTTGCTCAACCCGTCGCAACATGGTTTCCGCAGAGGCCACTCCTGTTTGACTAACATGTTGGTAGCCCGAGAGTGCTGGGCTGAGGCTGTGGACCAAGGACAGGCGGTGGATGTTTTGTTCATCGACTTTTCTAAAGCCTTTGACACTGTACCGCATTGCCGTCTTTTGTTTAAACTAGAATCCTACGGCGTTTCAGGTCAAGTATTGAAGTGGATCTCGGCTTTCCTGGAAGGAAGACAGATGAGCGTCCGAGTGGGTTCCGGGCTGTCTTTCAGACAAGCCGTTCTGAGTGGTGTTCCTCAAGGGTCGGTTCTCGGACCTCTACTGTTTGCATTGTATGTCAATGACCTCCCTGAGAAGCTTAAGGTACCATCCCTTATGTTTGCGGATGACTTAAAATTTTGGAATACAGTGAGCGGTTCTGTTGGGCCCACGGCTTTACAGACAGCTCTGGACAAGCTTTGGGAGTGGTCAGAATTGTGGCAGCTGCCAGTCAATCTTGCAAAGTGTTCGGTCCTGCGCATAGGATCAAGCACTCCCACAACTTCTTACGTACTTGGCGGAAATGTATTGCGTCAAGTGACTGAACAAACTGACTTGGGTATCTCGTTATCCTCTGACTTCAAATCCAGCGAGAACTGGATAAATGCTACCCGTAAGGGTTTCCGAATGTTGTGGATGTTCCGCAGGTCATTCGGCATTATAACAAATGAAATGTTCGTTATATTGTTCTCAGCCTTCGTCAGGCCATACTTGGAGTACTGCGTGCAGGCCTGTCCTCCATGCTTGGTACGCGATAAGATGACACTTGAACGAGTTCTGAGGGTTGGTACGAAAATGGTACAAGGATTGAGGCATCTCTCGTATCCCGATAGGCTGCTCAGGTTGCAGATGTTTTCGCTGCACTATAGGCGCCTTCGGGGAGACCTGATTCTTACGTACCGTATATTGACCAACAAGATTGGGCCTGATCTAACTGGACTGTTCCAGCCGGCTCAGATGTCATCTCTTCGTGGTCACCCTCTGAAGTTGCATAAGCCTAGATCTGATCATGTTAGAGCTGACGTTCGGTTGTCACGCAGGGTCATCGACTCATGGAACGCACTACCCAGCGAAGTAGTGTTAGCACCAACGGTGAAGGAGTTTGAACATCGACTCGACGCCCTTGGGTTACAGTTTCAGACCTTTCCTTTTAGTTCTTAACTTTTACATCTATTTCCTTGGCTCCTCACATCTATTACTATTATTGTCTTAACCACACGTTCTCTCCTGTACTACAATTACCATTATTTTGTTTTTGTTGGTTCCCTTCTCTTAACCTTTATTCTATTCACGTGGCCGGTACAGCGGGGACTGCTAGTGCAGGCCGCGTGGGCATTGATTGGTTGACCGTTATGTGATTCGTGTGTATTGATTTGGCTCCTCTCGGCTCCAAACCGCTCCCGCGAACTCCATCCTGGTTCAACGACGCATTGAAGAAGGAACACACATGGGAATCCTCCTACCGTTCCTGTCCAAATTGAACTTGAACTTGAACTTGAACTTGGTAATGGATGGTTTGATGACATGCTGACTATGGGGTGTCGGTTAGTCGGGTCCACCACCCACTCAGCACCAGTGCCCGATGGGCGCCCGTTGGAAGTCCGATGGGCGCCCGATGGGTGACCGATCGAGCGCCCGATGGGCGCCAGAGTGGCACAAAATTGTGTCACTCATCGGGCGCTCGCCGAGAAAAATGTTGCGGTTCCTCCTTCAAATGCCCTGTTTTTCCCAGATTTTGCTCTGTAGGAATAATCTAGCCACCTTACGTTCTCTGCCAACAACTTTGATGGCACGTTATTACATTTCCACACATCTGGGGACCCTACCAGCACGAAAATCCGCCGGCAGGCCGCTCAGCTTCCAAAATATGTGCGAACGGGACGTTTCGGACTGGCGGAGAAATCTTTAGCAGCACTCCACCTTTACACTCCTTAGTGTATTCCTCAACGCATGGCATTAGATTACCTATGATATTGGCCTCAACATAGCCAGTAACACAACTGGTGCACGCGATTAAGTCAACATCGTCATGAAGAGTGTGAAAAGTGCTTACAATCTTAATAATGCGCACTGGAACGTAGCGAAAAGAAGAAAATGGAGAGACGACCACGACGCAATGCACAACCACGAGATCCAACCAGTGATACCGCCTAACCCTTACGCGACCCTGCCAAGACTCGAACTCCGGACACCTACGCAAGGAGACGAGCGCCCTATACTACTACACTACGGAACTACGATGGTGAGTCCTCACTGCTCATATTCCTACCAGCAGGACAGTCCGCTTTTGTCACATATTCACGCAAACCTTCTGTTACATGTAGAAACTAACGTCGGAATCTACGATCACTTTTGACTTGGCAGGGCCTCCGTTGAATCAATGGCTGTTTTTCGCTGTATAGCAGCTCTGCCTTTCGTGAAGGGGGCATTACGTGCTCAACGATAACATTGCGTGGGAAGAGTCTGCTAGTGGTGAGACGTTTCAGCTACTGGGAGTGCAATCCTGTACGCTTATCGCACTTTTATGGGCGATACCTATAGGTGTCGCATAACCGAAATGTGCAGCGCACACGCACCAGTAATGCGTAATGTGGGTGTGAATACTGCATTCACGAAGTGAACATCTCTACTATCTTTTAATGAGTAGTTTGTTTATTATAAGAAGTTAACCGAAGGACCATCGATGTTTTCAGTCTCCGTTGGACAGTTGAAACGGCTATAAGCGGATTTCATATGCCATAATTTACGAACGCCCGATGAGTGTCCTGTATCGGGCGCCCGAGTGACCGATGGTGCTGACAGGGCATGCTTCGCTATGGAAGCTGCATGCTTTACGATCATCCCGGGAATGATCACATCATTGTTCGAGGTTAATTGACCCTGTAGTAGCTATGCATCGACTAGTCAACGGACAGTGGACTACAATCAGTCATTCAAAGCTTTGACGAAATGCTAATCCCTGGTAGCAGTAGATGTATTAAACTGGACAGAAACTGAACCTCGTCCAGTTCCGTAATAAGGCATTAGTAGCAGTTAAATGCATTTAGTTTGACCTTTGTTAATAAATAAATGGTTGATATACATTTTAAGAGTTATTATTTGACGATTATATGTGTGGGTCCGTTTATTGGCACAGTTTCGGTTTTGTAAGCTTAGTCGCTGTTACCGCCTTGTTTTGCGCTATTATTTAGCTCCCTTGATGCTGCGTTTCTTCAAGCCGACTTACCAGGTTTTCCAGTTAGAGCTTGTTTGATACATATGTATTCCTTTTCAGCGTGCCAAGTCGAAAATTTAGCAATTTACTGCAAACTTTCCGCCTCATACCACCAGTTACCGTGCAGCAAAAAGAATGGCCTCCGGATTCAGCCACGAAGATGTGCTTCTGTTATCAGCTGCTAAGCGACAAAATGTAAGACGTCACAAGCCTTTTGCACTGCATTCAGCTTTATTTTAAATGAAATATGCCTCATTCCGTCAGAACTGGTCGGCCATCGCCGTATGTCCAAAGCCATGTTGCAGATTCTGCAACAACAGTCCCAAAGCCTTGCACCGGGACTTTGTCTAACATTTATCTCTCTCAGTGAACTTAAGAGATACGATGAATGGCTGCAGAACCCAGATTTCAGATGTCGAGTCCCAAGTTCGACTTATCATTAAAAGACTTTCAGCTCAACCATTTGTCTGCTGTGCATGGGGATAACGTGCAACTTGTCGTCCGGGGTACCATGGGGCGGCTAATAGTAAGATCAGTAGCCGCGGAGTTCAATTACTCAGACGCGTGAGGCTCGTTTACATTCAGGCGGACAACTATGAAGGGCATTTTACAAGGTAAGTTGACATATAGTAATCCATACAAACCACAAAGGCATCATTCGAGAACGCATGGGTGGTGCAGTCTCGGATGCTGACGGTGCACGCCACATCCAACTGTGGTTGCATTCTGCACGGCACAAGAGACCGGATGTTCAGCAAAGTAAAGAATACAGTGCCAACGCGGTGATCCCACTGATTTCTTACGAACATCTTGAGCCCCTACGTTGTCAATCGCCGAAGCGGATTCAACATCTTGACAATGCCGCTTTTCGCGACAAAACAGATTTTGTACCACGCGCCATGTACATTAACCATTCTTATACCCGGGTGGTCAATTTCTTTCGCTTTGTGATGTTTTCAGGTGCGCTATAGGTTCCATTTCGCTTTCTGACCAGCATCATGAAGCGC